GTTTTTATAATCCTGACAACTCTGCGCCTGAGAGTTGTCTGAAGCCTTCGTGTGCTTAGTGGCTCACCAATACCACAGAAGCACAGCTTCTTAATAGGAATACGTTTGCAACAGCAATCCACTGTCCGTATTCCACCGTAGATACAAAAGCGATTGATCACAAGGCTTCAATGATCCGGCTTGAAGGACCATGTATAATCTCCGAGCGTACCTCTTCCTCAATTGGAGGTGTTAGAACTGGACTCACTATTTCACTAATGAAACACGGTTTCAAACACTATATTATTTAATAAACACTCGGACGTTACCACTGTGACAATACAACAGGATACAAAAAACTTAAAAGTCTATCCGGTGACAAGAATCTCTTTAGGCAGATTCAAAAATGACGTCACTTTATGAACGCCATCTAGGGATTCAATTCTCAACTATACAAGTAATAAAGTTGGACATATTAAAAGTCAGTGTCGTTTCAAGAAACAAAAAGAAAACAATGCATTCGTTGTAGAAAGTGCAATCAGCGATAATTTTCATAAAACCCAGTGGCTTATAGACTCCGGTGCAAGTGAACATATGTGCTGTAATCATAAACTTTTTTCATTGTATTCGAGTGTTACGAACAAGTTGGTGACTCTAGGTAATAGAACTCAGATTAGTGTCGAAGGATGCGGGCAGGTGGTGCTTGAAGTTTGGAACGGGAACGAATGGATTCACACGACCATAGACAACGTACTCTATGTTCCTGAACTGAAAATGAACCTTTTATCTGTCAATCGTGTCACGAGTAGAGGTTATGTTTTGATAACAAACCGAAATAGTTGCGAACTTTATAAAGGCAACGAAATTGTAGCAGTTGCACAGCGAAGCGGCAATATGTATGTGTTGGACTGTCGGTTTTACACGGATTGCTTAGTTAATAATGCAAAAGTTATTTACGGAGACTTGCATACATGGCATGAAAGGTTAGCCCATCAAAACATACAATATGTAAGGGATATATTGAAGAAAAACAATGTCAGTTTTCATGAGCTCGATTCGAAGAAATGTGAGACTTGCTTGAAGGGTAAAATTCACCGTTTGCCCTACCCTGCGAGTGATAATGTGAGTACGAGAACTTGTGAAATAATTCACGCAGATACCTGCGGACAGATGGAAGTGAAGTCAGTCGGAGGTTCCAAGTACTTTGTTGTATTTAAAGACGACTACTCAAAGTACAGGATGGTTTACTTTGTGAAAAATAAGGATGAAATTAAGAGATGTATAAGAAACTTTATTGCTCGGGTAGAAAATGAAACAGGAAACACCATTAAAATATTCAGAAGTGACAATGGAACAGAATTTATAAACAAAGAGGTCCAGGAAATGAAATTCACCAAACATCTGTTCCCTACACACCAGAGCAGAATGGCAACGCAGAAAGGGAATAGAACACTGGTTGAGGCTGCTCGGACAATGCTGTGTGATAAGAACTTACCAAAGAAATTATGGGCAGAAGCAATCAATACTGCAGCATATATTATAAATAGAACAGGTAAAAGCAGTGTTCCAACAAAAACTCCCTAAGAATTGTGGTTCAACAGAACATGTAATATAAATAACCTAAAAATATTTGGTACTACTGTTTTCGTCCACATACCAAGAGTACAGAAGTGGGACCCAAAAGGAGAAAAAGGTTTCCTGATGGGATATGGAGAAGCAACAAAGGGGTATCGAGTATATTTCCCTTGCAGTGATAGTGTTGAAATAAGAGGAGATATTGTTTTCCTGGCAAATAATCAGAGTGATGTAGGAAAATCTGATAGCAATTTGTATGATCTACCTGTACAGTTATTAGCCGGTGAAGCCAGTGAAACACAAGAGCCAAGTGAAGAAACATGTTTAAACTCTCCAGAGGACAGTTATCAAGAAACCAGTAGTGGTACAGAAAGTGAGGGAAGTTTGTATAAGCCAAGTGAAAGTGGGGACTCGAGTGGACAAAGTGGTAATGAAATAACCGCCAGACGGCAAGGTAATCGTGTGAGGAAGCAGACTGCATTTTATGAATGTCACAACGCTTTAGTGTCTGACAGTGAGTCTAAGACATTTGAAGAAGCCATGAGTAGCCCGGACTCTTGTAAGTGGCAAGAAGGTTCGGGGGTTTGAGCAAAATGATATGCTAGATTTCAATGATATCCATGCACCTGTAGCAAAATTGTCGACATTTAGATTATTTTTAGCAGTAGCAACAAAACTTAACTTACCAGTCTCACAAATGGATGTAACAGGGGTATTTTTATATGGTGATATAGAGGAAGATGTGTATTTAAAACTACCTAAAGGGGCATACAACAATGGGGAAGATATTGTTAGGTTAAATAAGTCTCTGTTTGGCCTTAAGAAATCCCCAAAATACTGGAATGTATAATTCAACTCTGTTATGATTAGAGAAGGCTTTAAAAGATCTCAGTGTAATTCTTGTCTTTACTCTAAATGTAATGATAAACAACAAATTTACGTACTCATTTTTGTTGACGATCTACTTGTTTTTGGACTGATGCGAGCCAAATATGTAAATTTAAGTTAATGCTAAGTAGGGAATTTAAGATGAAAAATTTGGGGTTGGTTTTAGATTTTTTGGGGATAAATGTTAAACAGAATTTAGATAATGGGGTGACAGAATTATGTCAAAAAACCTACCTAGAAAATGTCTTAAAGAAATTTAATATGTATGATTGTAAACCTATAAGTACACCTATGGATCAAAACTTTAATACTAAAATATTGAAAAGTAAATGTATAACAGATAAAAATACAGAAAATTTGTGTGACGTAGTAATCTTAGTATTTAAGACATGTGTAATGTTGTAATCGGGGTTTAACAAAGCTATCTCAGTACAAGCAACATATCTTATTGATTAGTGCGAGTCCCGTCCTTACATGGCGACCCTGCCATTTAAGGTGAGATTTCGGTTTCGGTATTGGTAGCGTGTAATACAATGACGCTTGGTAAAAAATATTCAATGGTGTTCGTAAACGACGTGTGAGGTAAAATATAACATTTTGGAAAATGGGAGGAAAACCAAGCAAAGAAGAGATAGTGATTGCCCAAAATGCTGCAGGTGGAGTGAATACGGCCGATGTCGCACAGATACACCAGAACCAAGGAGTAACAAATATAAATTTAGGAGTCATTCTTATAATATTAGTATTTGGAGTGAAATTTGCAATTTATAAACTGTATAAGCTATGTCACACGAATTGGACGCGTGAGGAGATAGCTCGGAGCGCTTTCAGAAGGTCTGGGTCCAGGCGAGAACCACGAAACAAGGATCCTATTGCTGCTTAAAGAAAAACGTTCAGAATCTTACCTTCAAACTTGGTGATATGTGTTTACGTAAGTGAAAGTGAAATATAAAAGCTTTGTGCGGTTTAAGAGTATACAGAAATAGTAAATTAATAGGAAATATAAAAACAGTTACGGAGTGCTACACAAATAAACTTTAAATTGAATTCAGGTCGGAATAATAATTAATAATTAATAATTTTTAGAGGTACTACTATATAATGTTAAGGTATAAAGGTATAATTTAATTATTTTTTAATGTCTGATATACATGATATACACGAGAAATTTAAGTATATTAAAGTAAATCTAAGAAAACTAAGTATTGTTAAAAGAACAAAATCATTGTTAGAGCAAAAATACAGGGAAGCTAGAAATTTATATGATAGGTATACTGCGAGCCGTGAACAGTTAAACTTAAGTGTAAATAAAGGTCATTTTAAGCAACAGAAAGTAGAAAATATTTTAGTTATATATAGCCAAATTTTGTTTGGATACAAAAAATTTAGAAACCGGCGCCATGACTACTGAGTTTGACATGAAAACTGCAACTTCCCTTCTTCCTGTAATGACAGGAGATGAGGAAGTCACGAAAAAATTAATCGATTGTATAGAATTTTATAGCGACACTTTGAAAAAAGAACATCAGCAACTATTAATCTCTTTTGTACTTAAGACTCGGTTATCGGAAAGTGCAAAATTTAGCTACTAATTTTACATCTTCTACAGAACTAATTGTTGATATGAAAACTCATCTTTTAGCCAAGCAATCGGCCTCGGCATTACAGTTGGAGATGGTGAGAGCCAGGCAAGGTTCTCAAAGTATCGAGGAATTTGGTAAGAGACTGGAGGATTTATTTGTTAAATTGACTATCTCTCAAGCTGATGAAGATGCCAGGTGTTTTAATATTCTAAAGCCTATAAATGAAAAATTGGCAATTCAAAGGTTTACCGAAGGCTTGAGAAATAGTCGATTAAGCACCATTTTAGCGGCTCGAAATTACTGTGTGCTAAAGGATGCTATTAGAGCGGCTAAGGATGAAGAAACTTCACATCAAGGCCCCAGTACATCTGTGGAGACAATTTTCAGCATTCAGCACCGTAGAAGAGGACGAGGTGGATATAATGTACTTATGCAAAATCCTAGGTACAGAAACGATGTACGTAATGAGCCGAACTCTAGAATATTTTTCCGGGGAAATAATAATAGAGGCTATAGGTAAAGTTTTGGAGGACACGGACGGAATTTCGGATCTGCTAACCGAGGTAACTATACTCGGGATAATCGACGAAACGCGTATATGTTGAATACTGTAGAATTCTCCTGTTGGCTAACAGGAGAATTCTACAGTAAATACTTCGGATAATTGTCAAAATATTAAGGTGGGTACAGATTGGTGAAACGTAACATGCAATGTGTCATGCAATGAAAGAATTCACCGTACACATTGCTGCAATGTATCATGAAAGGTAACACACTTTGTAACAATTTCTCATAGTTTGGACGTCTTGTGCGCGCGAAATGTGCATTTCACGCGCACGCTACGAGCATTACAAGCCGCGCGCGGAGCGATTCGTAATTTTTCGGTTTTTCGAACGAACACAAAGGGGCGCGCAGTGTGCGCGGAGCAGCCAACGTGGACGGTCGTTTTGAAATCAACACGTGCACGCAACGAACATGGAGGACGACACTGCGTGGAGTGAGGAAAAGGCATTTTGCTTGATAGATGCGTACAGAGTTCGTGAAATTTTGTGGAACCCGCAAAATGAAAACTATTTTAAGAAAAATCTTAAGCAAGATGCGTGGTCGGAAATCGCAAAGTTGATGTCAATGACTGTAGAAAAATGCAACAGCAAAATTGTTAGTCTTCTCTCTTCATACCGCCGCGAAAAGCTGAAGGAAAAAAAATCAAAGGGGACAGGAAAAGGTAAGAATAATGATTAATGTTTGTATTATTATTGTTTTTTTTTCTTCATTTATAAAGATTAACAAACAGTAGGTAATCACATTAATTAGTGTAAAATTTTGGTAGTTAAATCTATAACATTGTGAAACCAGCAACATTAACCACATAGTATCTACTTAAAGTATAATGGTAGATAAAGACATACAGGGTGTCCCGTAAATACTACGACATACTGCCACAGCTGATTTTTTTTCGCGATTTCGAAGTTGGTCCCATAGTAAAAGTTCTTCGTAATGATGAGTACTTTAACCTCTGGCAGTATGTCGTACTATTTACGGGACAGCCTGTATTGTAATGTAAGTGTATAAAAAATACCACGAGAATGTGTAATTTTTTACTTCTGACGTAAAACGAGGGGTGTTATAAGTCTGACCCCTAAAACTGTGGGTCTGTCTGTCTGTAGCATCGTAGCGCTTAAACGGATGGACCAATTTCGATGCAAAAACGAGAAAAAGGAATTCAAACCTCATGTTTCAGCTACATTATTTATTTATCCTAAACAATTAACTTTGTATTACTCGGTTGCAGGTGCCTCGGAAACATACATAAGTCGATGGTTTGCCTATGATGCTTTGAAGTTCTTAGACGACAGGAACACACCGAGAAAGAGAAAAAATACGGTATGGATTATTCTACGAACATCTGTCTTGCCAAGAAACCTTTCCTTCTTTCGTAAAATAATCAGCTAATTCATCTCTGATAGCATTTAGAGGTGGAGGTGATCGTCTGGGAATATTTCTTATGGGCAGTAATGATGTCATGTCGTCATTATTTCGCCTCCATGAACCTTCATTTAAAATTCCTTCTTCCTCCTGATCAGCTAATCCTGGAGTTATGAACACGTTTCTAGAATGACGTTTCAAATAATTATGTAGAAGAACGATTGCCATAACTACCAATTCAGCATTATCAGGCTGTAAAAGCATTGGTTTTCTTAAAACTCTGAACACAGACGATATAATTCCAAATACGTTCTCAACAATCCGTCTAGCTCTACTTAATCGGTAATTAAATATTCTCTTCGATGAACCCTTTGGATGTGTCCCACCATATGGTTTCATCAAGTTTTCACTTAAAGCAAAGGCACTCTCGCCTACAAAAAAATATGGGATGGAAATATTTCTATCGGGGAGTGGACGCGGCGATGGCAGGTTTATTGTTTGATTCTCTATCATATCATATAATGTGGTATATTTGAAAACTCCGCCATCTGAAATTCTCCCTTGGCATCCCACGTCTACGAATAGAAAATTATAATCTGCATCAACTAGAGCAAACAAAACGATGCTAAAATTTTGTTAGAAACTCGGTTCCGCTTTTGATAGGTGCTTCAAGTATAACGTGCTTTCCGTCTAATGCCCCTGAACAGTGTGGAAAGTTCCACCGGTCTTCAAACTCCATGCTTATCTTCAACCAGGCTTCGGCTGTCGTTGGTACCTAAAAAGAAAACAATTAATTATTTTTTGCATTTTTAGGAGTCACTTCATCGCTCGGACTTGGAAAACACTGCCGACCAAAATGTGTTCACCCCTCCAGTACCACCAAATGAATGTACTCCAAAGAGCGCTAAACAAACCAGGAGGGATGACAATGTGCTCTCAGATGTGATGGGAATACTGAAAACAACAGCCAATAAATTGGACAATTCGATAGGTATTCCTGATACAACGAAAAGTTTCGCTTCCTTTATAGGGGCTAAAATGACTAGTTATTCTCCACAAACTAGGACTTCGGTGGAACATGCAATTTTTGAAATAATTATAAAAGCTGACCCCCTGTCAGCTTTTATAATACGATTACCATGCATATGGTTCACACCAAGATGATTATTTATCCAGGGCAAGACAGAACTGTGTGGATCTGACCGGATATTCTAATCGTCCCTCAACATCGGCCGGACCACCATCGGGCACAAACGAAGCGGGACCCTATGGCTATACTACGGCAAGAAATGAAGATACTACTGACTATCGAACCAACCAGCCGCCCTTGTCGGTCTCTTCACAAGAGTCTTACACGTCTTCTATGGATGACTTTAATGATTTAATGTGATAAATAAAGACACTTCTAAACATAAATAAAGATTTTCATAATACGTACCTTAATGTATTCTTTTAATTCCTCCATTATTGCGGCGCACACTTCAGGTACAATAGCACTTATGGATTGTTTCGATACTCTAAACGTATACTGCAGACTTGTGTAAGAGTCCCCGGAACCTAAAAATCGAAGTGTTATTGCTAGCCTATGTTGGATTGAAATTGGAGCTCTTAAATTTGTATGGTTTCAACTAATTCTTGGTCCGATCATCTCGAGTAAATTTTCAAAGTCTGTTGGCGTCATCCTTGTAAAGTTTTTGTATTGTCTACTTATGTGCTGAAAATTCATATCAGTAAGCAGTTCTCTAACTTCTCTCCGTTTATACAATTCTGTCCGCCACCAACGTCGGGGTCTTCGGCGTGTTTTCATGAGTTGATGTATTATTAATAATGAAGTACTGATAATCGTCATAGCAAGAAAGTGGTCTTCGGACTCCATGCTTCGTGTGATCTACCGGTTTTGTAAGTGACGCGCACGAAAAAAACGTGTATCGAAGGGCCGTGTTCGCGGCAGAATGGCGGAAACCGACGAACGCGGGAGGTTCGTAGTGAATGCGCGTTAAGAGCGCGCTATGCGTCCACGCTTGCAGCGAACATGCAATGAAAGGCAGAATTATACATTTCATGTTACGTTTCACCAGTCTGTACCCACCTTAAAGCCATCCGTAGAGTTTTTTCGAGAAGAATTTAATATTATCATGTGACTATAATAATTTCATAGAATTGACAATACTCGGTACCAAATATAGGATGCTATTTGACATTAGAGCCTCGATGTCGGTGATTAAATATGACACCGTAAGAGAGTGGAACATTCCGATGCATCCCGAATGCATAACCATTAATGGTATTTGCGGCAAATCGCACGCCGAAGGCTTTGTTTACATACCATTTTCCGTAGGTGGAAAAGAATTCAAACATAAGTTTTATGTTCTTAGAAATCTACCTGGTATCCAAGACGGTTTAATAGGGCGAGAATTTTTAACTAAATATTGTTGTATTTTGAATTATGAAAACAATACTATAACATTAAATAATTTAGATAGTTCTATTACGATATCCTTAGGATTAGGTAAAAACACTTTCATTACGGTAAGGTGTGAAAAGATATTTGAAATTAATTCGTATTTGAAAGACGATTGTGTTGTTTTTCCGAAAGAGTTGTGCGAGAGTGTGTATATTGCTGGAAGTATCTGTCAACCGAAAGAGGGAAAGATTTTAATACAAATTTTAAACACACGCGAAACAGAAGTTAAGCTTAGTTATTTTAGACCGGATATGGATAGTTTATCTTGCTATAGAATTTGTTCTTTTGAAAAACGACATTCAGATGGCAAAAGAGTTCGGGAATTATTATCATTGATTAAATTGGATCATTTAAACAAAGAGGAAAGCATTAGTATAGAAAATATTTGTGCGAATTTTTCTTATCGGGGGATAAGTAAATGGGATAAGTAGTAAATGCTTTTTAGAAGTTAGATCCGTTAATAATCTAACGAAACTATTAAATATAAGTAGCAAATAACACTGAAAAAGGCAATAATTACGATTTCTAAAATTCCTTGTACGTAAATTGCAAAGCGCATGCCCGCTTGCAGTGCAAAATGACGGCTTCGTAAAAGCGGCTATACACGACACTAAAATCAGTGGCGATATCGGGGAGGTCCCTAGATCGTACTTTAAATCGGCACGTGTATAGACAAATCGTAACTGAAATTTTATTGTTTACCCTAATTCAAAAATCGCTTCGGGCGAACTCACGATTTAGGGACGATTATCATCTAGGGAGCGTGGTCGGCACGTGTGTAGCGGAATCGGGACTGATTTTTATCAGTATGCGCGCGAATGCTACGGCGATACGACGTGCTTGCGCTGGTCCGAGTTATTTCGCGCCATTTATTTTATTTTCTGTAGTAGGTTATACTCTTTGTTTAGCGCGAAAACATGGCGAAGGAGAAGGAGCGAGAAGCGTGGACGAAAACTATTGATCTCTTCAGGGAATTATCTTATTTGTGGGATAAAAAACACAAAGAATACTTCAACCGCGACATGAGACAGGAGGCATTCAAAATGCTATTGCAACTTTTTAATGAAGAGACCGGCAAAAACACAACACTGGCGGACTTCAGGAAAAAGCTTGAAAATATGCGTACTACGTATGGAAGAGAGCTGAAAAAGGTAAGATTATGTAGAATCTGTGCAAAGACTATATATAGAGATTCGCCAATAGAAACCAGCTAATATTTACAGCTACAAGAGGAGGGCTATGTTTTCATATGGTATGCAGCAAAAGGAGATTATCAAAATCTATAGATGTCATTTGTATCCAGTCAGCAAAATATAAGTAGGTACCTATATGGGTACTTACACGTTAAAATAAAATACTATCAATTTATAAAAGTGTTTTGATAAATTTGTATCAATTCACTTGTTTCAGGTGAATGCTTCCAAGCAAACAGGATCAGGGTCTAATGACATCTATGTACCATCGGTTTGGTATTATCGTCTCTTCGAATTCCTAGAGGGGACGACGGAGCCATGCCGGCCTGGTACGGTTACTTTGGATGAGGTACGATAAAATAATACTAAAGTAATTCATAAACCTATATTTTATTTATAATATACACAATACACACAACATTTATGTAGGAACTACCCTCAACATACCCTCCTGAAAAGAAACTCTGCCCTGTCCATTAAAATAAGTTGTAAATTTATTGCGTACAATGTTGCCTTCATTATTGCGCTCTTTTTCACTTATTTGCGACAGTGACACTAGTCCTGTTGTTTCTTCCCGCCAATCACCGTAATCGCCAATTTTTCGTTTAGAAAAGTAGAATTGTGGATATTCTCAGCATCGACACATGTTTTGGTCATATAACTTTTGGACTTTGTTCTTAAATAATTATGTAAGGCACAACAAGCTAGCACAATTTTGTAGACATTATCAATTTTCACACTTATTCTTTGACGAAAGATCCTAAAACGTGCTGCTAAGATTCCAAACGCATTTTCAACTACTCTCCTTGCTCGTGATAATCTGTAGTTGAAAATTCTTTTCTCGTGAGTTATATTCCTAAATGGGTATGGCTTCATAATGTGTCTATTAATGCTGAATGCTGAGTCTCCCAAAAATGTGTATGGTACTGAAATATTTGTTCCCTGTAACGTGCACGGTGGTGGTAGATTTAACTCATTTGTCATTAACTTATTGTACAGGGATGTGTGTTGTATGACGCCACCATCAGAAACGCTTCCATTAATGCGAGTGTGTACATACATAAACTCATAATTTGCATTTACTACGCCGAATAGAACTATACTCAAAAAACCTTTATAATTATAAAATGACGAGCCACTCTCAGGTGGCTTTTCTATGGATATATGTTTTCCATCTATCGCACCCACACAGTGATCGAAGTTCCACTTGTCTTCAAACATTTTAGCATTGTCTTTCCATTCACTTTGCGTTGTAGGCATCTGAAACAGAAAGTAAAGTGAAAGTTTTATTACAGATCCAATGGTCACCAGAGATGTCAGCATCAACATCATCGGAACAAATTATAAATACAGAAATATGTGAAAAAGAGGTGCCCAAGGTCTCCACAAAAATTTCACAGCCCAAAAAGCAGAAAATGTCTATACAAAGTAGACAAGAAAAACTGCTGGATTCTGCTCAGATACTAATGACTCGACAAGATGACGACTGGGACATTATAGGAAAGTCAATAGGCGTTCAATTGAAAAATCTGAGTACCCATCAACAACCAATTGCCCAAAAAATTATCAATGATGCCCTATTTTACGGAAAACTTGGCAAATTGACAGACGAATCTATTATCACTTTATCTCCACAACACACAGCATCAAATCCTTCTCGCATTTCACATCGCTCCTATCATTTTTCCTCTGGCTCTTCGGTGACAAATTCATCGCCCCAACCATATTATCAACAATATCCAGTACAGCCGTCCCCTCAATCATCTACACAATATATGATACCACAGTCCCCTCAAGCATCTCTACAACATACGGTACAACTTTCTCCTGAACCATCCCACAATATATGACATTACAATCTCCTCAACCATCTTCACAGCTTACGCTACAACCTTCTTTTCAACCATCCCAGCATTATATGATACCACAATCCCCTCAAATATCTTTACAGCTTACGGTACAACCTTCTCCTCAACCATCCCAACATTATATGACACCACAATCCCCTCAAACATCTCCCGCAGCCGTATTCTTCATCGTCGAACACTGAACCTTTTAACACTGAATTTCCAAACTGTACATTTAGTGATACAACAATTAAAATAGGAACTGGCGCAGATATGAAGGATTTTTTGATCTTCAAAAAAAAAGAACAAGTAAATAATATTAATACATACCTTATATTTTTTAAATAAATGAAAAAATGGTTTTTAATTGGTGTTTTAATTACTCTATAAGAATTTAGTCTACTTACCTTAATGAAGTGTTTCAAACATTTATAGATAGCGGAGCATGTCTCTGGAATCATTGTGGACATAAGTTGCGGCGATATTACGGCACTGAATTTTAAATCCTCATAGCTTTGTCCAGTTGCTAGAAAACGTAAAGTAACTGTAAGTCGTTCTCTCGGACTTATGGATTCTCGCATTACGGTATCCTGTTTTTGTATTAATGGTGTCACCATATTGAGGAGTTCTTCAAAACACTCAGAATCCATTCTTAAAAAGTTTCTGAACTCATCTGCTTCTAAATGTCTCATCACGTTCATGTGGCTTAATTCATGACGTTTCATCAACCAGTTTTTAACCCAGGTCCTCCTTTTTCGTTTCTGGTTAGGTGGCACCATAGTAAGTGCCAAGACAATGCCTATTTTTTGCTGCTTTGAGAGTGTCGGCGGCATCTCGGATCAACGAGCAGTCTGTTGCACGGTCGGTTACGTACTGGGCCCCAATTCCGCTATTTTATGTTCACGAGAAACCACTGTCATACCACTGACACGCTATTGGAGATGCCATCGAGTGGCCACTGACATCGGTCAACTTTTCGGTAATCTGCTAAAATAAATTCACAATGTGTCAATGGACTGTCGGTGTAGTGACAATGGCTCATCAGTGGTAATATTAACAACATTGCCATATCTTGAAAATGAAATATATCATTTCCTTACAAATTTAAAATATAATACGTTTTTATTTAAACATTATATAAGCTTTTTAAATTTATATTAATTGATCATATTTTTGATACAAATGTATAAACGTGGTTATAACTACATAAAACACCGTAAAAAATTAATTATCGTTGGCTGCTTGCAAGTGTTATTGCCACACGAAAAAAAAAGTTACAATATCTAATATCTAACATTGACATTGACGGAAGACCGGCAAAATTTTAAAAAGTTTTTAAATAGTAAGTACATACTTTTGTAATATTTAGATGTTATTGATAAATAAAACTAATATTATATTTTTGTACCACGAAATGTTAAAACGAAGTTATGTGATACAATATTAATAAAATTATGGTTTAATACTAGTGCATCATCGTATTGTTTACCTTGCACCTTGGTCATTCAAACTTTTCTAAACTCGTTGCAGGAATGGCTAGTATTGAACAACTTGACGCTTTGATATCCTTCATGGAAAGCCACAAGGAACTGGCCAAGGAACGAAGCGCTTGTGGGCACAGTGCACTCAAATTCTAAACAATATTTCGCTAGACTGCCAAGTTATATCGCCGCAGAGCTGGAGAGTAGTGAGTATTAACTTTATATAACAAATTTGCTCTAACTACTGGCCCCCCCTACCAATATATTTCTTTATAAGAAGGCAATATAAGGGTTTATAATACTGAAAAAGAATTATATATAATAAAAGTAATATATATATATATTAAGTTAGGGTAACATAAAGTAGTCCACCACATTATCAGCGTTGGCAAATATCAGACAACTTGACATAGTAAACTCATAGTTAAGCAGATTTCCTTCTAATTCTAATGTTTGCTTACACTGTTAAGGCAAGCAGTAACTAAATTATAACTTTGAGATAAAAGTAACAGAGGCAAACTTAAGACTTCTAAGTACTGTAATTTGTTATTCTGTACTAATTCCATCATGGAGAATAACTCTAGATAATCTTCTCACTAAGCTTTGTTGCTTGAACTACTAAAATTTCCTTACTTCATTTGATTAATTCTATAAGCTAATATTTATTTTGTTATTTCCAGTTTTATAATGAATACAAGTCTAAGCTCAGGAGGGTAAAAAAACAAAAGGCCGAAATTCAGGCTACAGGTAATGACCTTTCTTAAATTATTCTTATTTATTAAAATCAGTTACAAGGTTAATATGCAGAACTTTTTATATTTTGTTTGTTTAAGATTAACTGCATTGTTTTCAGGAGGTGGCCCCGCAGCTAACATCACCTTGACACCATTACAGGAGCGACTGTATGATATTATTGGTAGAGATGTTGGGGAACCTCTAGAAGGTGTCCGTCACAATCCCCTATTTGTGGGTTTAATATATCTTATTTTTTATTGTGCTATGTGTAACTTTTGCCTTTTTTAAATGTTTTAATTAATAACACAAAATATAAGTCCTGCCACATTGCAGATACCAATATCTACAATTTGGCATTACATATATTTTTTATTTGCATGTTTTTTTTTCTTATTGAATAGAGCCTAGAAGATAATGCTGGTGTTGGGGTGCATGAAATACCCTTTTCAGTGTGAGTTGTCATGATATTTTTATTTCTTCATTTTATTACTAACATACTCTGGAAGCAGATTACCTACATACAAGCTCAAATGCCTGACTTGCCCCACTAACATGCCCAGATTTTATATATTCAAATACAAGAGACAAATAATATTATTAATAGCCATAATACACAAAATAAAGAACTTGATAGAACAAACAGAATAGCAAGATGTTCCACAAGCTGTCCCAGTTCCAAAAGTATCTGATAGGGTTGCTCTATTTTGAAACCCTGGCAGTATGCATTGTTTAACTAATATGTGTAAACTAAATAATGCATAGCGGCGGTGGCTAATATTATAATTTTTATGAAAATTAAAATTATAATATCAAGAATGTTAACTTTATTACAGACATAACACACAGGCCCAAGCAGTGTCCTTTGAGGTGACTCCTTCTTTGGAGTCAGCAAGCTCTGCAATATTCGCTAGTGCTGTGGAGCCAGTAATCTCCATAGTGGACTCAGCTAACTCTACAGTACAAGCAAGTCATGTGGAACTCATTGGCACTGTGGAGCCTACTCCTCGTCCATACAGCGGCTCTACACATCGGCGACGTCGTGGACGTCGAAGTTTGGAGGGATCTCAACCCCGAAGTGGTAATTTTACTTTTACTTAACTGTATATGTTCACAATACCTTTTCATATGGACAGAATCATGTAACGTAAATATATATTTGCCCTGCAGCACATGAACCAACAAGTCGTTTAGAGGAGGCACAACGCAGGTTAGCCGAAATGGAAAGCGAAAGAACAATGGCTTTTACGGCTGCTTTGGACCGTCTGGCTACTACCATTGGTCAGCCGTTGGATCGTCTGGCCACTGTCATTAGCCAACTTTTGCAAGTATACCATAGAAACAGCAGTGGTTCCCCGCCTCTGGTAGGCTTATTCCTTCAAGTAGAATCTTAAGCATCAACACATAATTTATATTTTTTTAACAAGTTATTTTATGTTCCTTTCAGAGAAAAAGGGCCAGGATTATTATCCCTTCAGAATCTGACTCCGATTAAATTAAAAGTAGGTAACAAAAACACTTATGGCAGTAGTAAATGTTTTTAATTTTAATAAAATTATCTTTCTGCCCACAATTTGTTCACAAGTGCCTGCTGCATGGCCCGGCCTTCCAGCAGGTCACGATTAACCCGACCACCTATCGTTACTACGGTCTCAGCCTCTGCTCTCAAATCTTCTTGAACCTAAAATTAATGAAACAACAGGGATTAGGTATTAAAACAAAATTAAAAACTTAGGTTTAAATTGAGACCCAATCAATGAATTTGAAACTTTACCTGATATTGACGCAAATTCTCCGCTACAACTTCCTCAGGCAGTAAAGGCAGGACAGGATTTTTGGCGCGGTTCGCAATGTTGTGCAGAACACAGCAGGCGTTCACTATTTGCCCTGCAGTATTCGGAGCATAATGAAGTGCTCGAGCAGCAAGCAAACACCTAAAAATAAATATTGATAATTATACTGAGTATTAACATTTTCTTTTATTTTCAGAATTTTTCTACATCTAATCAAGACTGATTAATCCAATCAAGACATTAATCCAATCAAGACTGAATAATAGCTTTACGTTAAATAAAAAAAATATTTATCTAGCACTATGTTGTTTTACTATTCCAACTGATGGCATACAAAAAATAAGATATTTAGTTCATTGGCCTGTGACATGACAAACATGTAATTCATTTGGTAGGGTTAATTCCATCTTTACCTGAACCGTGCTTTCAACACCCCAATACAACGCTCAACAGTATTGCGCGCAGTTACATGCAAATCATAATAATATTGCTGTGGAGTTCCCTCAGTGGTGTTTAAAATTGGTGTCATCATCCATTTGCGCAAGGGGTATCCACTGTCACCTAAAATAAAGTAATTTTAACAATTTGTATTAAATTCCTTATTTTATTAATAACTAATAGCAGCTGTTTTTTTAAAATTTGCTGTTATGTAAAGTTTTTTATCAGTCAATTATTACTGATAAAAAACTAAAATATACAAATGGTTTCTAGACATTGTACATTTTATTCCAAGATTTCATCTTCATCATCATCAACAGCCTTGAATAGTCCACTGCTGGACATAGGCCTCTCCTGAGAGAGGAGGTTTTGGCCTACATACTCACCTAATAAAAATGAACCATCTCCACCGGAACCAGCTAAACTAATTAAGTGTTGGCTAAGTGGATTACTCTGCCACACACTGGAGTCATGGGCTGCACCAGGGATACTGGCATCGACACACATGATTTGAAGATCAGAGTCACATACCTGTAAATTATTGATAGCATTAAGCAAACTGAAAAATGACTGAATGATAAATAAACTGGTGCAAATAAATACTTACAATCATAACATTTAATGAATGGTACCCTTTTCGGTTAAAATATCGTTCTTCATGTACGTGAGGTCTCAAAATAGCCACATGTGTGCCATCAATGCATCCAAGAACCCCGGGGATTTTAAATTTATGATAGAATCTAAAAAGCAAATAATGCTGTTAATTACCGACAAATTATTACCGACTACGTGTAGATCCATACCTTATGCATGGTGGAGTCTGTGTAATGTACACCATTACAAAGACTCCACCAAGCATAAGTTTTATAAAATACTAGCTGTTCTCTGTCATGCTTCGCTGTGATACATTGTAGTTGCAAAAAAAGATGACCAAAATCTTTGAAGGTTGTATATCGTGTCAAAATATGAGCTCTATCAGTGCAGAACTTTTTGAGTTTTTGAAGCATACACAAACCAACTTAACATTTATATTTATGATATTGATAAGGGGCAAGCCTTCACTTTCTCATGTTTTATAGAGGTAATTGATAATCCTTCAATGATAAATACATTAATAAAAGGCATCTAGGTATGAACTTACTTGGCTTTTATGTCATTCCTGTCTTGCTGTTCCAATGGGAATCTCACATATTTGTGGTAAATGGTAGGATCATTCAAAGCTTTGGTCACTTGTCCCACAGCCCTTGACACGGTGGCTTGTGATACATTGTGAAATGCACTTTGCCCTACCAAACTTTGATATGACCCTGTAGCATAGAATGACAGGGCTATCAGAAGCTGAAATACAAAATAGGTATCAGGAAACTATAAGGTGAAAGTAACTGAAGCATACATTTTATTTACAACAATACCATTTGTTTTCATTTTATTAACCTTACCTTCATTATTACAGAAATTCCATCCTTTCTCTGCTCAAGCGGAATAATTCTGCTGACATCCTCTGCAAGTTGCTTTACAAGGCTTTTACTAATTCTAAACGTTTTGACGAACTCGTCATAGGATATCATTGTTAACACGTTAAAACTTCGCAATAAAGCACGAGCTCGGCGGCGTTTTGTAGCCTCTTCTCTTCGGTCTTCGTTATAAGAAGCTTCTAAAAATTGCCACCGTAAATATGATATTGGAAGCATATTTATTTTTAAATACGGAACACGTTTTACAGTAAAGTTATAATTTAATGTTATGTCTAGTTGTTGATAGTGTCAGATCAATGGCAGTTAAGTGACAAATAGTCATCCTGAAGCCATCGTGACGTCATTGAAACTACTGTCAATATGAGCAGAATACCGTATGTCAAACTATTGCAGAGACATCGACAACATTTGTATCAGTGACAAGTCATCGGGAGGCCATTGGTCTTGTTACAGTTAGCAGATTACGAAAAGTGCCAAACTATTCCGACGACACTCCATCGACACCCTATTGATACAATATTAAAATAGCGGAATTGGGGCCCTGACTGCCAGCGACGTGTGTAGAGAATAGCCGATTTCATACCCCCTAGCACTGTATCGATATCGCCGCTGATTTTAGTGTCGTGTATAGCCGCTTTAAGGCTGATCACACACAGCATAATTTGTGATGATTTTGCCACAAAAATATTTAAGTATATTATGTATTGAGTATTAATAATATTATAATATATTATTATTATATTTAATAAATATTAAATATATTTTTTTATTATATATTTTATTTATTATATTTTTATAGTATTATAATTTATGTATATTTTTAAAAGTAGGTAATTAAATTACTATGTAATAAAGTATTTTAAAAAATATACGTAAATTATAATACCTACTATAATAATATAATAAATATTTTTTTTTATATTATATATTTAAAAATGTATTGTTTTTGTGAGAATATTTTATGAAATAAAGGAATAATAAATAATATTATTAAATATAATAGTAATAATAACGCGGTAAAGTAAGATTCTTTAATAATATATTTAATTTATAATATTATTAATACTCAATACATATACTAAAATATTTTTTGCGCTTACTATATATGTATGTACTTGCAAACTATTACCGACACCTAGGTAAAATAGCTTCTTATTACTGATTGTTTTTGATTATTTTGTACTAGTTTTTTTTTTCATGCATACATACATACATATACACACGCAAAATTTCCTGATATGATATGTATGCTACTAGCTGAATGTGTTTGGTTTGGGCTTGTTGATGCTGCTGCATGTGTTTTATTTTCGCTTCTAGATTTTATCTGTCAGCATGCCTAAGACCCGCGGAAAAAAGCCTCGCTGTGCACGCAGCTTTCATTTCTCGCAAAGGTAATGGGCTCGCTCTTAAAATTATTTATTCTATTTCTGTGACTTTTGTCTTCCATTTATGTATTACTTAACTGAGTGAAGCAAGAATAGTGAGATTAGGTGTTTGAAATGTACCTAAATGTTTTTATGTATAGTGCTGAAACCGAGAGCGCTTCGGAACCCACTCCAGGGCCGTCGGGGGAACAACAAAGGTATGTTCATGACAATTCTTCTTCTTTCAGTCAATTGCCAGCAGTCTAGATGTTCATTTTTATTTTATTTTACCCCAATACTCCGCGACAGAAACTGTACGCTAATATTCTGATAAACGTACATAAGCAATTACTTGCAAAGCTTTTTTTTAACTGTTAGTGCATTATTTACAAATTTCATTATGTTTTAAGGGTCAATGTGCAGTCTTCTTTGGCAATCGAGATAAAAAAAAATAAGTCTGGTAAGGCTGCAGACAATAAAAACATAAAAAAAATGAGCGCTGCGCAGCGGAAAGAGTTGGCGCACCGCAAAGATATAAAACAAGTCGGCAATTATAGAATGCCGGAGTTGCCTACTTCGTAAGTATATTTATAAATCGACAAACCTGTTTATGGTAATCAGCCATAACCTGCATTTAATCTAATATTTATTTTTGAATACAGGAAAGGAAAGGAGAAGGGTAGGAGGACGGTACCCGACGAACGACAGTGGATCACTTGCCCACTGTTGCCCGGTGTGCCCTCCATCCCTCCAGCAAGGGTCCTTCAGCCATGGGAAAAGGTTCAGTCTGTGCATGGTATGTGCATTGTTTTATCAAATACGTAACTGTTATTTCTACTTATCCCTATTAATACATAATATTTTTTTTTAATTCCGTTCTAAATTCAGAAATGGTTGTCGAGGCAACTGTCGTCGATTTGAATGGCTCCCATAGCTAAAATTGGTTCATTATATTTGCTCATGTATTGCTCATCATTGTACTTTTTTATTCCTAAAATGAAACTACAGCGAAGGAGACGACCAACGATGACGTCATCCAGGGCACGCCTTCTCCACTTTCCCTGCAAGGACCTTGTCTCTGTAAGACTATAACTAAAATCACTTTTTAACATTTGCTCATGCAATACTATACATTGCACTTTTTTATTCCATTAACAACAGCAGCAGCGGAAGAAAGCGACGATGATATCATAGAAGGGACGCCTCCAAAATGTCACCAGGAAGATTCTTTCCTCGGTAAGACAAAAGCTACTGTTTTTTACATTTGCTCATGCAATACTTTACTTTACTTCGTACTTTTTAATCAGAATTGACACAAAGGTGTTTGAAGAGGGTGAAAGAGGACATCAATTTAACTACTCATCAAGCGAAGTAAGTCTAGGTGTATATTGCCTATGTGTGTAAAAGCCTGAAAATGAATGTCTAAAATTTACAAAATGAATTGGCATCACAATTTTTTATCGTCAGGAGATCATGCATTCGCTTCAGCCCATCCACGGGGGTCGTTCAGGTCATGGAGGTGTCTTTCCTACCCGTCGTTGCCGACATTGAACTAATCAATTGCACGCCTAGTAAGTATTTTAATAGAAAATATTTCCTTCAATATTTTTAATGAATATTTCTTTTCACGAATATAGTCCTGTTGTGTCCACTGTTTTCCTGTTATTTTTGTAAATAATTCAAGACATCACTAAAATTTTGGGTAAAAAGACCATCATTGTACCGTTTCTCAAGCAAATATATACTATTCCAGAACGTTGTGGATCGCCTGATAGGTTGCACCACCGGCGAGGATGCTCAGGAGCCGTGCCCCACGGAGCTCAATGAGCTTTTGCAGTTGGACAGCACGGAGGACCAAGCCATTCGTAATATGGCTGCGGGTGACATGGACGTCCTTAGTTTTAACTGGTGTGCCGATTACAACAACTTTGAGGGCGTCCAAGAAGAGTTTTCTGGGCCATCAGGACCAACTTTTGACCACTCGGGTATGTCTCCTCTCCAGGTATTCCAACAAATCTGGGATACCAATATTATAGACCACATTGTTAACGAAACGAATAGATACGCACGACAGTTATTTTTAAAACAAAAATGCAATTGGACTCGTTTATCAAGATGGAAAGATGTGACCAGCGACGAATTTCGGCGCTTCCTGTCCATCTTGATGTTACCATCTGTTATAGTTAACAATGTGGAGCGCGAGTATTGGTATCCCAGGTCCGCCTTCCTACAGACTGGAGATTGTAGGAAAATCATGCCCTACAACCGATTCCTTCTAATAAAAAGGTGCTTCCATTTTAACAACAATTCCTCCTTGCCAGAATACCCCTCTAAACTCCAGAATTATTAAACATTATTCCTTTATACCTTCCCGAGCAAAAAGTGGTAATCGACGAGTCGCTCCTTCTATGGAACTCAAATCACTGGTTACTCAAATCGCAACACAAAACTGATACGATGGGCACTCTTCGGCTCAATAGGGAGTTCGTCCCTGAAGCATTAAAGGTCAAAAATAAAACGACTATGAAGTCGGGTGAAGTCTCCTTCAGCTCCACTAAAGATCTGTGTGTGCTCTGTACATGGATAAAAACATTGTACCGATGATATCGACATACCATCGTCCAGAAGTCGGCGGAATAGAAAAATACGGTTACTATAAATATAGGCCAAAGGTAATCCTTGATTATAACCTCTCTATGGGGGGCATCGATCTTAAAGATCAGATGCTGAGCAGCTTCCCCATAGAGAGGCACAGAAATCTAATTTGGTATAAAAAACTATTATGCCGACTTTTGAACGTGTTGATACACAATTCGTCGGTTATCCATGACCACGGCCGCACAAAATCCGACAAGCTCGGTAATAGATCCTTCAGGGTACGGCTCCTAGAGGAAATCTTGGAGACTTACTGTAACACCCCTCAAGCACCCGTACAACCCACATTGCCACAGCCGATGCATTTGCCTGTGAAAAAAGAAAAAATTAGCGGTGCAAATTTTGCGCAAGTAAGAAGGTGCGGCGCTCGACAATGTGGAGTTGTGGCACGTGCCAAATTAATCTGTGCTTAGAGGGGTGTTACGGAGATTATCACAAAGAGTTGGGTTAATTTTTTTTTGTTTTTTTTTTATATTATAAAGTCACATTATTTTTCTAGTTATTTATTATACATATATACATTAGTTCTCGTATATATATATATATTAGTACGTAAGTAAGATCCGGAAAATAATTCCCGATACTTTATAGTGTGTAGTCAGCCTTATTACTACGTCTGGTTGACTGTATTTCTACATGTTTATGTTAATAAAATGGTAGATTGTGCAAGTGTGATACCTTTTTGAAATGGGCATTAAATATACTATTTACATATCAATTGTTATTATTGTATTGTTTAGTATGTAGAACAAAAAAAAACAGAAGGTTTAATTGATTCCACTGAGAGCATGGGACCTGTTTCAGAAATGTTCATATTTTTCAGTGATGGTGAATGCTATCACTATGATTTTTGTTTTTTTTAAAAAAGAATATAAGATTACTTATTAAGTGTTGCTTATATTTTATGACTATAATGATATTGATATAAATTACGCCGCGCGGCGCCATGTAATGGTATGCCATCAAAGGCCTGTAATTGAATAAATATGTAGACAAGTCAACTTTTTTTATTTCTTATCCTGTTATACATTATATAAGTAACGTAATCAAAGATTAAAAACCATATGTCATTTTGAGATATGAGCTCTTGAATACAAGACGAGCTTTAAAACGCGCTATCTCAATTTCAACACAACATAACTCGACACCAGAGTCGTAACCTCATAAATAAAATTGCATTGCATGCAGCATTGTATAGCTAGTTTCATAGTAAATGTTGGATTAATTAGGCTTTTAAAAAGTTTAACCAGACGGCAGCATTGTCTGTGACCCTGCTCTATGATTATATTTTTTTGTACATTGTGTTCTTTCTTGCTGTGCAATTGAAGAAAGTTTTCTTAATCAATTAATTAACATCTCTTGATTGATAAAAACACCCATAAACCCTATAGGTTATGGGCCCAGTAGACTCTGTAATTGAAATCTCAAAAGAAAACAGCAAAGAGAAAAGTTACAATCGTTGTTAGAACAAATTGACAAGATAACCTCAAAATTGATTCCCGCGCGGCAATGAATTTAGACAAATTCGATGGACAGAACTTCAGGCAATGGAAATTTCAGATAAAGTGTGCACTAAAAGCAAAAGGGATCGACATTTCAGTGCCTAGACCATCTGGAAACAGTGTTGAGTGGACGAAAAATGACGGCATGGCAATGTATATTATGACATCTTCGATGGATTACAAACAGATTACCTTGATAGAGAACTGTGAAACTGCCATGGAAATAATGTCAAAACTAGAATCAATATATGAACAGAAGAGTGAACTATGTAAAATGTTAGTTCATGAGAGATTCTATCAATACAAAATGTCTACAAGTGACAGTGTCGCTCAGCACATTTCTAAAGTCGAATCTTTAGCCAAGCAGTTAAAAGAAAGTGGAGAAAACATCAGTGAAATGGCTGTGATAACAAAAATACTTGGAACATTGCCTCCCAAGTATAGATCACTCCGTCAACCCTGGATGTCATTGGATCCAGCGAACCAGACTCTTGTCAATTTAACTGCTCGTTTATTGGACGAAGAAGCCAGCTTGCAGTGTGAAGACGAGCAGGAAACGGCTCTCCTTGTGGCTAACAAAGGCTGGAAGAATAACCCAAAACAAAACGATCAGAATAAAGGTGCTGGTGGTTCAAATCAAAATAAACCCACCAAACACAGGTTCGAGTGTTATAATTGTGGAAGGCGAGGACATTTTGCTCGAGAATGTCGTGCTCCAAAAAAATCCAAGCCCAGAAAACCTTAACAGGAAGGTGCAGATTTATTAGCGTTCAATGTAGAAACCAGTTTTAATACAACTGAAGAGAATGCTTGGATTTTAGACAGCGGCGCCTCTGCACATATGACATACAGAAAGGAGTTCTTTATAAATCTTTTTGAATGCAGCCAGAAATCATTGACATTAGGAAACAAACAATCGGAGATCTCCGAGCCTTACTGAAACGTCAGAAACTTCAACGGTCAAACCAAAAACACGTCGATAATTAACTTTTCTGTAATGGTGCGAAATGCACCGTTACACTAGTTGTTCCCTATCCTTTAAATATGATGTAAACCATTGCAGGCATTTACCACGGATTCCTACACTATTTAGTTTGTTTAATAATATATCAAATTGTACCTTATCATAAGCTTTGGTCATATCGAGCATTATTCCTATTGCATATTTCTTTTTATCAATTATATTTAGCGCTTCCTGAATAAATTTATAAACCGCCAAGACTGTGGATCGATTTTTACGGAACCCATTTTGACTGTCGTTAAATATATTATATTTTTCACAAAAAGCATAAACACGATTACACATAGCCTTTTCAAATATTTTTGAGGCTGTTGGCAAGAGAGCTATAGGGCGATAGTTATTTGGATCAGTTTTCGTGCTTTTTTTATGTATCGGCTTTACTATGGCTTTTTTTAAGAGGTCGGGAAACGTGCCTTCCTCAAAAGATTGGTTTAATAAGTTGTAAAAAGGTAATGTTAATTCGTCTGCACATTAAGACAATGTTAATTAAAGTAGGTGGAAGTTCATTTATTCCGTGGCTGTTTTTATTTTTTAAGTTTTTTATTAATTTATTTACCTCATGCGGGTCGACTGGACTGAGAAAAAGTGAGTTTTCTGTAGGAGATATCGCTCGGGTTCCTTTCGGTTTACTGCCGGTTCGGTTTGAGTTATTCTCCCCAATAGAGGCAAAAAAGTCATTAAAGAGCAGTTATTGTAGGATTATATTTTC